AAAATCCTAGAATCAAAGAATTCTACAGAATCACAGTAGAAATTCCTAGAGAAATAAAACAGTAATAATAAAAGTTTTGCTGGGTGCTGATGGCTCACGCATGTAATCCTAGCAACTCGGGAGGCAGAGATCAGTAGGATCTTGGTTTGAAGCTAGACTATTTTGAAAATACCCAACATATAACAGAATTAGAGGAATGGCTCAAGTGGTAGAGCACTTGCTTAGCAAGTGTGAGGCCCTGAGTTCAAACCCCAGTACCATCAAAAAAAAGTTATAATAAAGTTCAACAATCACAGATAATTTACCAGAGCAAAAAACATGCAAAATATTTAGCAATGGGCTTGATGGCACACATCTGTAATCTCACCACTTGGGAGGCTGAGGCAGAAGGATCACCTTGAATCAAAGCCAGCCTGGGCTATGCAAGAAAATTCGAGACCTTGAGATAGTATCTCAGGTGGTCGCAGTTCTCTCTGTTTTTTTTTTTTTTTTTGAAACAGAAAAGAAACAAAAGTGGTACAGTTCTTAACAGGTATTCGAAAAGTGAAAATCTGGCCAAATTAACTCAGTTACACATATATAACTGTACACAATAAAACATAAGAAAAGTATGATGATTCCTCAAAAAATTAAACATAGAATTACCGTATAATCTAGTAATTCCACTTCTGGGTATATACCCAAAGTGAGAGGGGGGAAATAAAGCGGTATTTATGTACCCATGTAAATAACAGCATTATTCAGAATATCTAAGAGATAGGAGCAACTCAAATATCCACTGACAAATGACTGGAAAATACATACAATGTACATAATGGAACATAATTCAGCCCTAGAAAAGAAATTTTGACATATGCTAAAACACAGCTGAACCCTGAATACATTATACAAATAAGCCAGACACAAAAGGACAAATATTGTATGATTCCACTTAGATGAAAAACTAGAATAGTCAAATTCATAGAGACAGAACAGAAAGTACAACTGAGCATGCCAGCATACACTTATCATTCCAGCACTTTTAAGAGATTGAGGTAGGAGTATCTCAAGTTCCAGTCTACCCTAGGGCTACACAGTGAGACCTCTCAAATAAATAAATAAAACAAAAAATTTATTATTTGTTTTATTTATTTATTTATTAACAAAAAAAGAATATTGTTTGTCAGGAGCTGAAGGAGAGAGAAATGAACAGGGGCTATGTTTTAATGGATACAGAGTTTCAATTTAGATGATGAAAAAGTTCTACAGATGGCTTAGCGATTCAAAAAACCTTGAAAACTACATGTTTATGATTATTTTTAAATTTTTCACTACTGGGAATGTGGCTCAATGGTAGAGCACTTGCCTCACATGCATAAGGCTGTGAATTTGATCACCGGCACTGAAAAGAAAAAATAATTCTTAAGACACTTATTTCATGCTTGGTATACATTATTAATATAATTGAAATACATTGTGTACTAGGAATTTGAATAGTAGGAAAATTAAATGTGCTTATGAAAAATACATATGCTTTATAAACTAAATCTTTAAAACATTTTTTAAAAACTAGTGTGTTTAGCACTGTACTCCAAAGTAGTTAGCTGCTTAATGTTACTTTTCCTGGTATTATATTCTCTTAATACCAAGAAAGTATTAAAAATTCAAGTTACTATGTAAAAACATGCCAATGGTAAGTTTTTCCTCTAAATCTTACTAGATTTCTAGTAAGTTCCTAGCAATCAATCAATCAGTAATTTCTCTGATGCAATCATATACCTGTATGTATATGCATTACAAGCAACTATGTGTGATACAGTAGTGATACTTGCGATGATCCATTAGCTTATAGTAGAAATTCAACATTGGTAGAATTTCTGATGTTCATTAATCTAACACTAATGTAAATAGTGTTGAAACACTATTTACCAAGTGGTAACAGCAGAGCCATAACCAGAATTTAGGAACTTCTAAATCAAGGGGTGAGGTAATGAATTAACTTCAAATCAGCCTCTAAAATTAAGGGCTACTGATTCTACAAATTGTTGCTGTGTAAGCATTGAGAAAGCTGAATCTGAATTATGATTTGTCCCCCTCATTTTAAGTGTTACTTATTAACTAAAAAGAAATGTCTAAAACATGACAATTTTAAGGAAAATAACAGCAATTTTTAAAAAGAGCTATCTCAGGAAGCACTCCGCTTTGTTGTTTTATGTTATAAACAAAACTTAAATCAGTTTGTTTTAACTCAGTGAAACTTTCCTATTACTTCCTCTGTGCCCTAATAAACAGCATCCCTCTTCTGGAGGAGAGATGAGAGTTAGCTACAATGTCATATGACAATTTGTGAACCATGGAAATCACTATGAAGTGTTTATATCAAGTTATTACTCGCTTGATATCTGAAGTAATTACATTATCTTCTTTTGTTCGTATTCATTACATATTCATACTTCACACATTTGGATTCCATAGAGACAAAAGACCAACCCTACTTACTTGGTAGTTATCATTTCATCTATAGTCAGTTGAAAAGACTGATGTTTATTAAATTGGTAAAAAATAAGCTTCATGGCTTTGTTTTATAAATTGTATAAACTTCAGGTGCAATAATTTTGCAATTTCAACTTGATTCTGAAAACTCTTAACTTCCTGTTTCAAAACAGTTTGGTTTGCATAATCAAAGGGCAGAGAAGTCCATGAAGTAAATAAATGAAGTTTTAGTAATATAAATACTAGCAAGATGGTTAAAAGAATATTACTTTTTTTTTTTTTTTGCGAGGGGACTGAGGTTTGAACTCAGGGCCTCATGCTTGCTAGGTAGGCAAGCTATCACTTGAGCCACTCCACCAGACCTGTCTTGTGTTGGGTATTTTTGACACGGGATTTTGAGAACTTTTTGCCTGGGCTGGCACTGAACTGTGATCCTCCTTATCTCGCCTCCCAAGTAGCTAGGATCAGGAGTGTGAGCCACAGACACCTGGTTAGAATGTGATCTTTTAATGATAAAATTTCTTGAATTTTGAAAGTTAATTAAATTTTTTCCCAGCATCTCACATTTCGAAATTATCTTGCAACTGAATTAAATTTACATTATAATACTATTGACAAGTGATACATCATAGAAGTTTCTCTTTAAACTTTTTTTTTTTTTTTGCTCAGGCTGGCCTCCAACTCCTGGGTCCAAGTGACCCTCCTGCCTCAGCCCCCTAAGTAGCTGGCACTACAGGCATGTGCCACAGCAGCAACTTTTAAAGGGAAACTTAAACACTAAATATACATGTGGTTTACCTTCCATTGTCATATGACAGGAAAATGTACAGTTAAGGACTGCTTTCACTACATAGCACAGAAATTTCCTACTTGCAGGTTGATGAATAAAGGAATTCAGATAAAGTATGCTACTAAGCCACTCGCTTTATGTCCTAGCTTTTCCACCTCCTACAGTCCCTTAAAATTGACAGTACAGATTGAGTACTGGTGGAAAAAATAGTGAGGAAAATCTGAACATTACTAGGGATCAAGACCATATGTTTTCCATGACAACAGGATTCCAAATATATGCTGTACACAGTATGACATTATGTATGACATTATCTTCTCTGAAGCTTTGTTAATGAATTGTTGGCATAAACTGGTGCCTACATTGCTAAAACCTGTACGTACTCTTTCTAGGAACTGTAAAGAATTTGAGGTCCTCGATAAAGTTCTGGTTTCCATCAGTCCCAGCTAAAAAGAACTGAGAAGGTTCTAAACCATTTCAAATTCCTCACACACATGTGCTACCTTATTCTCTCAACTATGATTTCAGGGATCATTTTTATAATTTTATTTCCCTCCACTACATAATAGTTTCTGCTGGCTTTTCTCGGTATTTATGAAGCTCAGCTTCCAGTAATGTCAACAGTTAAGAATTTGCCACATCAGAATTCTAGCTGAAAAATATTATGTTCAAATACACAGCTATATCTCTAAGTAAAATAAAGCCAGTAGGAGAAAATCTGTAATTTTAATAGACATAGTACCATGTTACCCCTCAAAAGACTGGACTGCTGTATCCTTAAGTTTTGGGGTTTGTACCAGTATCATTTTCCTTTGTTTTAAGGGAATACTGGGGGAGAAGTATTTTCATAGAAATATTACCTGGATGATTTGAATCACAAGCCTAAGTGCTACTGTTAGAAGATACCAGCAAAAATGAGCAACCACTAAAGACTAGGTAGTAGCCACCTGAGTAAAGCGATGAGAATGTTCCAAGCTCTAAATCCAGAAAGCATTTACTCCAGTGGAGACTGACCGTTTCAGGAAAAACACCTCACAGAGTTCAAAGCGGCTTTCATTACATTTTCAAGCATCCATAGAAACCTAACAGATACATTGACGACTCTCAAACAGCCTTATTTAACAATTCAACAGTATCTTCTGATTTAAAAAAACAAAAAAAAGACAACCTTGACACCTGAAAACTAAATCAGAATAATCCTTTAAGGCCTCCCGATCATTTGGGCCAGGGAATAAGCAAATTGTTACTGGTTCTATTGTGCAGCTGGGGTCTCTCTCACGCTGTTTTGAAATCCCCTCCCAGGATTCCTCTCACGTTTGTTGACCCCACCACGCGGTACATTGTAAAAAAAGTCACATGAACAACGCGTGACTTCCATTGTGAATCAATCCTTCTCATGCTAGAAGGAAACTAAAAGTTACGATGCACACACCTAAGTATCGAGAAAGTGAGCGACTGAAGGCTGGGTACATGATGCATGTGGCACCGGCACGGAGTCACAGCACCCCGAGTGGAGGTGCAACAAATGCCCATGACTTGTTACTTGTAACAATAACTTCCTGCAGCGCTGGAGCACCCAGCGGCCGGGACGCCGAGCTGGGCAGCTCCGCCACGACCCCCACCAGCCTCCAGACGCCGGGGAGACGCGCGCCCGCCCCCCACCAGGCGTGAACAACCACCCGGAGCACCCTGCGGGCGGGAACCCGCTGGCCGGGCGGGTCGGCCACGAGAAACTGACCTACGCGGCCACCCGGCTCCCAGAGCTCCAGTGGCAGGGGCCACGACCACGGGCTTGGCGTTCGCCCGCCCCACGTCGATGAAGCAGCAGGCACCGATTCTGTGCTCCCCAAGGACCCGCTAGAGTCCCCGCGCGGGAAACCCGGGCAACGCTGGAGATAGCGCCACCCACCGCGGCCGACCATGTGAACGCGCGCGCGGACGCGCGCTGGGATTGTTGGCGCCAGGCCCCACACGTGACCAGCGCGCGGAGCCACGCCCAGCCCGCACGCCACGCCCTCCCAACCCCCCTCACCCTAGGGCGGGTTCCAGGCCTAAGGGTGCCAGCGAGCCAGGAGCCAGGAGCCAGGCTGCTTTGCCCCAGGTACAGCCAGGAGCAAAGGCTTCGCGAAAGGACGAATCCTACCTGGACGACTGAGAAGAGCTACCGGTTTCCGGAGGGACCACTGAGCAGAACCAAAACATAAATAGCGGGTTAATACCCTGCAAATTCGTTATTAAGCATGCATCACCCAGCTTCCCAGATTTATTTTTTGCTTTGGTTGCGACTTAACCCACGGGAACTTACTTGGTAGTGTAAATTAGTTACACCTTTTTCTTTTCACAAGTTAAAGGATGACCTTAAAATGAAATACAGAATGATTTGTAAATATTAATGCTTGTATAAATGTCACATCATTAATTTCCAAAGGAGACTGTATTAAGTAAAAGTCTGTAAATATGTGAATGAGGCCAATTTTTTTCAGCATTTATAATTTTTTTCACTTGTTAGGAACCTTTTGTTATGTATTTTCTGTTAATAGTACTTAAAATTGCAACTGCTAAACACAAAATAAATAAAAAAATATTTATAGGAGGAAATGATTAATTTGAAAAAAGATACATATGCGTGAGGGATGCATAAAAATACGGATTTACAAAATTTCCTCCACTTCCTTCCCCACTGAACAATCATTCTTGAAGAGTCTGCCTTTTCAGACTAGATGCACAACAGGTCTAGCCAGAGGAGTTAGTACATCGTCTATAATGTGAGGATCAAACTCAACTATAATTACAACTTTAAAAATAACATGCATGACTAAAAAGACAAATACAAGTATATAAAAAGGGTTTTTTTACTTTTGAATTTTATAAATGTATTTAATGAACATATGCTTTTAACAATGAAAATAAATAGGTATCATTTTTAAAGGGTCTGTAAATTCTTTAAGTCAATTAAGTCTAGAAATGTACTGAGAACCTGCAATAGGCCAGTTGGTCATTGAGCTGCATGTGATACACCATGTGGCAGGCAGAGCTTATAGAATGATATCTCTGGAGAACACAAGCAACCTTGCAAAAGGCTGGCATCATCGTTTATAAATAAAAAAAGTGCTTGACTAGCACCATATTTCAATTGCAAAATTTGCGGTAACTAAGGAAGTCGTATTTAGTTCAGGAAGAAGAACCTTCAGGGCATATTTTCTAAGGATAATAAACTATCATCACAGCAGAAACAGTGGACTGTTTAAAACAATTTTCCATACGATTCCATGACAGACTTAATTTTCACTATGATGACTTAATTGCCTAAGCTCATGAGTTACATTTTGCAACTTCTTTCTTCAATTTATAAATGAAAAGCAGTTCCTAGCCAATAGGAAGATGAAGTATTAATCATTATAATTGTCATTAAGAGAAGTTTGAGGCTTGGTAGTATTATACTGTACTTCTACAGAACTTTCTTTAGTATTTGTATAAAGAATAGAAAAAACTATGTCCTGGGTATTTTTATTATTCACTAGTACAGTTTTAAAAAAGAAGCAAAACACAAAGATGGCATAACAGAATTCATTATTCTAGAACATTGCTGTCCTATGAAACTATCTGCAATGATGGAAATGTTCTATAATTCTATCTTGTCCAGTCAAGAACCACTAGCCAGCTGTGGCTATTAAGCACTTTAATTGTAGCTTGTGTGACTTGAAGGTTTTAGTTTTAATTAATTTAAACTTAAATAGCCACATATGCCTAGCAGTTGCCATATTGGACTGCATTTCTAGAGTAACAAAGCAGTCCCTATATTGTTCCCAATCATGTCATGCTCTATTTTGAGAATCATTTGACAGACCCAGAGCCTCTAGAACCAACTGTTTCCCTCCACACTCCTCTCAGAGCATAGGAACAGGGAAACATTTTAACTTTGCAGATGGAGCATGTTAAAGTAATTATAATCCTTATCTGTGGTGTATGTAAGTAGGAATAGAAACAGCAGCTCTGGAGAGATGGAAAAGGGATTTGAGAGTAAGTAACTCTTAACCCAGCCATTCCCCTGCATGCCTAACCCAGATTAAAAAGTTAACTAGATAACTTTTAGTTAAAAGATAACTAGATAACTTAGATACCAGGATGGGCTTCATCAGAACCATTGCCTTGGTTCACACAGGATTCATCTTGGATTCTTTTATTTGTCTCTGGACCCTTAGGAGCCCATTCCTCTCTACCAGTATCCCCCTCCTCACATCCTAATGATTGCCTCCAAAATATGAGCCACCTCAGAATACAGTATCTCTTATTTGTGTCCCTGTAGTTTTTTTTTTCTTAAGCCAGAGACACCGAGAATGCACTTTGTGAGTTGCATGTTTTATAAACACTCCCCAGGTGCCAATGTGACTTTGAAGTGCTACAGGAGCACGCTAAAGGCCTCTTAAGTCATATTAAAAGGAGGATTTTATGGACTGAGACTGGGTAATTACTGCCTGGAATGCTGAAAAGTAGGTCAGATGTCATCAAGCAAATCCAGATAAATTTTTGAGTTGGGGGGATTAACCATCCCTACACCTACATATTAAATATTTTGTAATTATTAACTCCAGACTATCAATGCCATGAGGTCATTAGGGATTTTTCTCGCTTAAAAACTGTCTAAACTTTTTACCATTTGTGATATTACCCTTAGCTTGTTTAATAACTAATTTAAGGAGCTTGTATATTTTCAGATATTAAATTCTTGTGACCTAGACTTAACTCTGTACCTGTCTTTTCCTGGGGCTGTGGCACACATATGTCTAAGCCACTGCCTTCCTCCAAAGATTGGTTTTGCTGGCTCCCTACACAAAATATTTAGAAAGGACCCCTGTGTCTGTAGAGTTTCTTGGTTGCAAGCACTGACACTGGCTGACTGAAGCAAGTAGAGAATGTACTATACAGGTACCAAAATAAATAAATAACCATGAAAATTTGGCTTGGTGAGGGCTGGATTAGGGAAGTTCTGGGGATCTGGGCAGGAAAAACTAATTAGTCTACAGTCCCTCCAGAGTGCCACTACTTGGAAAAATATATTTTAATTATTTTTATTTTCCTATCCTTTTGTCTTTCTTCAGAAGAGGTAAAAGAGAGAAAGGGAGAGAGAAACACACACACACACACACACACACACACACACACACACAGAGAATGAGAATTCTTCATGGTTTCTCTGTAAAGCATGAGCTTCTTTGGCAGTACTTCCAGTTCAACCTTTAGTTCTTAGTTGTATTCATCATGAAAAAAACCTGCTTTTCCATCCATAATAATCTGGTGAAGGAGTATGCCTCACAGTACACTACCCCTTTTGGGAGCCTCAGAAAGCCTGCCTTGCCATTCCTCTTTCCTGAGGGTTTCCTTGTGCAGTCTATTATTTATTCTTGGCTCAGTAGATGAAGCAGGATCAGGGTCTATCCACATGGCCAAAGGTCTGCCTAACAAAAGCTCTCTGTTGAGTAGCAATAGACTATCCATATATTTCTTTCTCCGATATATTTGACAGTGAGGAATACAAAAGTACAATACTTAGCAACAGTCGATGCGCAAAGGTATATAGAGGGAAGTGAGAGCAGAGAGAAAGCAGAAGCTCTAGGGCTGCAGGAAGGAGAGCAGAAAAAGATGAGGAGCAGCAAAAACAAGAGCAGAGAGCAAATGATTGAGGCCCCACAGTGTGGAAACACCAGAGCAGGAAGCAAAGGGTGATACTTTCTGCTGGAGGGGTTGTAAAGTGGTGGTGGCTGCAGCTACATCGTCAACAAGCTTCCAGAGCAACACAGATGTCTCTCCTTTTATTTTTTCTGTAGTTTTACAATGAAAGGCCTACTAGCTATCTGATTTTACCTGTGCTTTTCTATTCCTTGAGTCTATAAATAGCCTAACATATCACTTATTAACCACCTTCCTTGCTCTCATGGCTCCCATTCTTAATCTCTAACAAACAATCCTGTCAAAACGACTCTTTTCAATAGCCACCTCTCTTTTCAGGGTCTCTGCTGTTCTTCCCTCTTCTGTGGCTTCTAAATTACCTGTTTTCCAGATTCCCACTAACCCTATTGTGTTTTCCTGGAGTTACTTGTCAGCACCTGATATAGTCAGATGGAAGGGCTCACTCTGGATAAGCAACATAACATGTGATTTTACTTCATTCACTGAACTCACAAAGCTCTAAAGAAGAGGCTTTTATGGGACTGTCTTTGGGCCTTAAGAAGTATGGGTTAAATCACACACTCCTGGATCTTAAATTTGGAAGAGCCACCAGAAATCACCCGGTCCAACCTCAAACCTAAAACAGATTGTCCCCAGCCCTGTTTTGAAGAGGTATTCCTTCAGAAGGCAGGAAACCTTCCAGGCTAGTAGGTCACTACTTCATAGTGCAGCTTAAACCACTTTTTATTTTCCAACATCATTACTGTTAGAACTGACTCTTAATGAGGCAAAAGCTCCCTCCATACAATTTTCACCTGTGAGTCCTCATTATGCAATAGAAAGATGAACAGAGTACACCTAATTCCCCAACTGACAGGCCATTCTTCCAAACATTTAAAGATGATTAGCATGTGCCACCTTAATTTTTCTTCTCCAGGCTTCCTTTCTCAGATGTTCAACCCCATGATGTGTACCAAAAGGTTGGTCATTGCACTCTGACACGCAGTTACAGTTACTACTTTTCTCTCTTAAAATCTAGCTGCCAGAATTAGGGAAATCACAACCATTTCTATGAAATTAGAGTGTAAAGAAGATTTAAATACTACTACAACATCAACTTTGCTAATGTGACCTGTTTTCCAGTTGTATTATCTCAGACCTCCCCACTGCCCTCTGGTGGTAGATATTTTTTAAGTAATAGAGAATAGGGAAAGTTTGGGGGAGAGGGCAGTAGAGAAAAGA